ACGAGCTGTGGAACGAGGAATAATAAGAGGGAGAGACCTAGTGAAAAAGTTTAACAATCAAGGTAAAGGCATCTATACCTACTGCCAGCAACACGTCACAAACAGCTGGCTATCGTGCAAAGGTAAGGCAGCATCAGCAAGATAGTCTCTTTGCGGCTTTCACTGCCCCGTGTCATAATTAGCCATTGCTCCGCATATAACAGCACCACACTGTAAACAGGCAGTCTGACTAGGAGACGACAGCACACGCACCACTGGTATCGACTGCAAGTCTCGAGTCAAGCACAAGGTCACGTGGACTCCAGTCAGGAAAGTGAAACGGAACAATAGCACCCAGTTTGTAGTCAGTAACTTTAGTTGCCGTTGCCAAATTAATCTGCCCATCTCGAACCTTGCGCCACGCTACAATCCGCAGATTAAACAAAGACCTCTTAGGTAAGCGGTGATAGGCATAAGTAGCACACCCTCAAGCCAAAGCAACTTATTTAGGGATGTCTGTTGTTCTAAGGAACTAGCATGATTATCACTTCTTATCACTCACCTACGCACATTATGGATGCGGACACGCTGCGATGCTTCACAGGCAGCGATGATGCAAAACTTGAACGCGCCTCAGATTCTCAGAGCAAAGTGGCAAAGGCTCATTGCCACAAAGTATGAAGGGGGTTCTTACCACCGTCTGACGATACTGATGTCGCAAATTCAAGAACACAGTACAAGTTTTTCCAGTACGTGAACTGACTTTAGTGGTTAGGCGTCCAATGTTGCAGAGGCAGCTACCAAGGTAAATTCTTGGCTATCAAGCGTCAAGGAGCTGGTGGTCTTGCAACAATCTTTTGCAATTCGGAGGTGCGAAACATAAGCCAAATGATGAGATAACTCTAGTGAGGTAATTCAGGGTTGACTGGGTCACCGGAACATCGTTAAACAGCAGGACAATATCGTCCGCATGATCAAGATCAACTAGCTTTGCACCAGTCAACATTCCAACGCCGGCACCGTGAGATTTCACACTCTATGATGCAGTCCACGATGAAATTGAACACAAATAGGGAAAACGAACAACCCTGACGAACACCACTTGTTGTCGGAACGGCACCGGACAAAACACCGTAGACCCTGATGCGACCTGTAGTATTCGAGTACAGAGCACGTAAAATGTTCACATATTTCAAGGGAACCTCTCTTTCGAACAGAATGGATCGATCAATCGAGTAGAAGGCACTTTTGAAGTTCAGGATCACATTCATTGTCGGTCTGCTGTATGTGAGGCGTTGCTCTGGCACGTGCCGCAGAGTGAATGAATACAAGCCGTATAGGATGGAAAGCCGCCTGCTCATTGTTGATCCGGGATTCCCGTACCGCACCGAGAAAAAGTACGAGAACTAAGGCTAGTAATTTGTCCCCCCCCCCCGGCGTCAGGCTAAGATCTGTTGTTGGCACAGTCGGTGAGACTGCTCTTTTTGCATACTGCCACTAGAATCAATTCAGTAAAGTTAGTCGGAATAGCCGCTTACCTATAAACCTTCGAACACGGAGGAGCGGAGGTGTTCCGCACAGGTCCTCACAACACCATCGTGCAGGTCGGAAGAAAATTAGCAAATAAGTGAGATCCGTTAGCGTTAAGGTCGTGGTCTTGATAAGTGACGTCATCTCGGACTTATATTCTAAGCTAGAGCCAAAAGTGGAACATCAGTGGGTTGTCTAAGTATCGGAAAGGAGAAATGTCATCGAAATATGAAGGGTGACAAAGGAAGATGTAAGAAGGGAGGTAACATTGGACGGAGTGATTAAGAACTAATGCGACGCAAAAGCACGTGTTGCGAAGAGCTGTCATTCAGATCGTCATCGTCATCATCATCATTAGATGTTAGCTATTGTGCCGCAATAAAAAAGATAAGACATGAAAAAAGGAAATACTTAACATTGCAGAATAGAAGAAACCAAGAAACAATATAATGCTAACCATCATGTTATCTATGAATTGTGAGATCGTTATTAGAAGAGTAAGATAATCAAATGGACTGAGTTCGGTTTCGCACCATGTTAACAAATGTATCCAATTAAATGTGTTCATCGTCCTTGGGACCCTAGTCCGGTACTCGGAAGACTGGAACCAACGCTTAATTCGAAGTGAGAGTCTCCACTATTCATGACTAATACATCACTTGGCCTCCATCCTATTCTTCCATTCACACACCCAAGCAGCACTCAAACAACGCACGGCGCGGGAGTGCATGTGCTGGTATACACAATACGTGACCAAGCCATCAGAGCCTGGTGCGTGACATATCGATGCTGAGCGGCTCACTCGCTCTTCCTGCATCGAGGCCGAATCATGTTATCGCTTACGCGGTGTAACCATCACATTTGAGCCAAATTGCGGAGGCAATGATGCTCGAACATAGCAAGTCTCTCTCTCTCTCGCTATATATATATATATATATATATATATATATATATATATATATATATATATATATATATATAGCGGACTAATAATGTAGGAAAATTCAAAACCAACCGGAAGACTGAAACAAACGGCTTATCGCAGGTGGCGCACCTAGAAAAGTACCACGGAGTATGTGGGCCTGAAGCTTGAAGGCGAGACGCCACTTTAGATCAGGTAAACACAACGGGGCTCTTCGTGCTAAGCGATGGGTGCGCAGACGTACAGCATTGTTTTTGGCCTAGCGGGATTATCCCATCATCGTTGCTCAAGGCTCGAACATGGACCGCATCATTCAGCTAGCAAAGATATCGTCAGGCTCTCGTAGCGATGACTAAAGGTGTGTCGGCCAGAGGTTGAAGGAGTTAAGGCTTGCAGACATACAAGAGAGCCGCCTCTTATGTGCACCTAACAGACATGGCCTTCACTACCAGCGGAAAGCAACTTCAGGTGTCGCAGATCTTCAATAGAGACCAGAAGCTTCTCAAAATGTGGTAACATATTTAAGAGCCGTATTCCTGCCAAAAAAACAAGATGAGCGAAATCGGCGAGCAACTTCGATAACCCGTGTCAATCGGCAGTCTGAAGATGCAAAGCGATTGATAAAAGAGCATCTAGGTGGTTGGGTTCCGCGTAAATCGCGCTGATTGTCAGATAGCACGAAGATGTTTGCAAAGAGGTACACCTCAAATAGAGGAGTGGAACAGATCTGGCGAACCTCACTTGTTGGAGTGGTCGTGTAAAGGGCACAGGAAGTACTAACCTTTATTTGAACACATTTCAGTATCCCGTACAGGAGTGAATGATCTAGTGGATAGGGTGGGCTCCAAAAGTAGAGAAACACAGCTGTAATCGCTGTGTGGCATTTATGACGTTGCTCATACGCGCGCCGCAGAGCAGACATTGGATCTGTCCACACCAATTATGATCAAAAAGGCTGTTCCTTCTCTTTCTTGGCTGCCTCCCGTTCTGCGGTAAGGCGATGTGCGGGAAAGAAGCCGTAAGTAGTCAGAGTCAAGTTGACACCTCTGTTACAAATCCTACTGCTACTCGTTCTGAATAATGACAATATGATCGATTTGGTTCAGTCAGATGGGACAGCCACCCCTTCCCATTACTGTGCACAAACAGGCAAGCCAACTGCGCACAAAGGAATTCACGGCCACCCTTCAGTAGCACGTGAATGACAGCCTGAGCAAGAAGCGCAGGGACGCTTGAGGGATGAAGTAGCATTTCGAATCTGAGACTCAAGTGGAATTTGTTGAATTAGTTGTCTATGGTTGGACCTGTGCCACTTGACCGAACATGCTATCTAACAGAGCCTTAGATGAGTGAATTTAATGTCTCCAGAAAAAACAAGTATAGTCGATCTGGTTGTGCCTAGTCATAGCGAGTCCAGTTCTGATTATCAGACCTGAAGTCGGCTGGGGTTTAATCCGTAGCCACGATCAGGAAGCGGATAGCACTGCTTCGTATGATTGCATTACTGGACGCTGTGCAGACAGACAGATGACCAGATGGTTCATGTGTGTGGCTTGTAGTCCATAAACCACCGGCATCAGTCTGCGCAAATATGGGCGACCTCGCACTATCTCTGACCTTAGCGCAACAGTTGAGGATAGAATCACAGCGTACGGCTGATGCCCTTCTACCTACAGATGATGTCCAGAAACCGGAAAGTCATAGCGATGGCTTGCATGCAGATAAAGAGATGCCAGTGATTTTGTACCTATTGCCACTTAAGCAAAGGATATGCAGACGTATATATGGTTGGCGGCATCCGGTTTCGGATTTGCCTGTCATTGTGGCAAGCCACAGGACGCCTACGCCTACAGAGGGACCATGGATGGCTTGCGCTGCACCACCCACAGCACCAACCACATACCCCATATCCAGTGTAAACCCGAAGGAATAAGACCGGGAGGCATGTGGATGGGAGCCACGTTTCATCAACGGAGTCGGCCCACACTCCTTCACAGGCAAACACAAGCAAGCTGTATTTGGGGAATCAACCGCACACAAGGCGTTGGCTGGACTGTAGTCCGTTCCATACTGAGTGCATGGAACCACTCTTCGAGCGTAACACGGCCACAACGACCGTGCACCCCGTCCCCACCAGCAACGACCAACTGTCTCCTGGAGCCAGTATGGACGAGGTAGCGGGTAATAGACAGGTAGGCCCCTTGTCAACATGCACATCAAGCGCAGCCACACCGGGGAGACGTGTATATATATATATATATATAGTCTAAGGAGTAGACACAGACAGCCCGATAAGTTGGATTGGAAGAACCGGGAAGAGTCCAAGAACACACGACGAGTTAACAGCACCATCCAGCATTCGCCCAACTATTCTGATTAATATACCGTGAAGTTTGGCGCACTAAGCTACATAATAAAATATAGCAACAAGATATGTGCGGAGGATTGTTGAAGTTGTCCATTCCTCTAGGTGAATTCCGAGAAACATTTTCTTTGGTCCAGAGTGCAAAGGAGTTAGGACAACAGCAAGTGGATTGGAATAGAAACAAACATTTGTGAATGTCCGCACCTGAGGGCTGTGAAAGATGAAATAATCGGTTCCTCCGCGTGGGTCCTCAGATGGCATTTCAAAGCGTTGGCCCCAGAGCCCATGTTGCACAACATCCCTAAAGTGACCCTCTAGCTGTTCGCAAACAGCCTCAGAGAATGGAAGAACACGATTTTCGTCCGGTGACCTAGAGAACAGAGTAGCCGAGAAAAGTAAGGTCTAAATGTGGAAAATTCGGAAAGTGCGTACATGGCAAAGTAAGCATGGAAATCAATGAACGATTGAAGGAGAAAATTAGCATGCAGACATGCAGGGACAAAAAGGCAGCCAAAGAGTTAAGCCTTAGGCAAAGAATAAAAGGTTTGATGTGGAGAGGGCGAAACAAAGTATATGTGGTAGGTGGATATAAGGAAGCATCATACATTAGCAGTACGCCAGTACGTAGTACCGACGTATTGCAGCCGCATCACCACCACCGGTTGTACATGGGCTAAAGATGCTGGGACGGTCGCCCGGTCCCCTATACAATCTCGAACCCATGAGTTCGGAGAACAAGGCAGGTTCGTGATCCTTAGGATCACGGCTCGGTCATATAAAAAGAATCTCGAATGCAGAAGACAAGCCCAAAATGAAAAGTTGTGCATCGCACTCATGACGACGATCAGCAGTTTTTGGAGTTACTCATCCAGGGGGCAGCGCAAGGTGGATAGGCGCCTCGTCAATGCCAGAATCACGTGTGGTTACACACAAGAGATTAAACAATGAGCACAGGATAAAATACATCAGTCACTGAAGTCTCAAGTGGTCTCAATACTACTGACAAAAGTAATAAAATTAAAACCTGGTGGTCGTGCTATGGGATCAATGGGATCAAATAAACGAACGGTAGCCAGATAAGAACTACCTAGTCAATTGCGCAGGGACCGACAGATGGTCATATGCGACGCACTGGATAAGACTCAACCCAGAGACAAACCGATAAAGTGTAGCCGGTGTAATTTTCCACGAAACCTGCCCCGTATCTAACCATTGCAATGAGGCTGGACCTTACCGTGGTGCCATGGTTTGTGTGCCTCATTGATCCATTGAGCTATGCTGGGTGGTGCTTTCTTGCACCTTCAAAGTCATTCATACCAGATTGGTTAGTGGTTAGATGCCAGACAAACTCAGCTTCCTGGTCCTCCAGGTTGGGGGTTGGAGTGAGGGTGGCACCTTATTCCTTAAAACAGACTCCTTGTAGCCCAACGTCAAACCCGCTGCCTTGCGGTAAGGTTTTTGAATCAAAGGCTTTGGTTGAGAACTCTAATCGTTCTCCTGACAGCATCCTGCCCACCCAATACTATGAACCTTTCGTCGAACCATTTCTTGATGCTCTGGCAACCGCAGAGGATAATCAACAGTGCCTTATCTGCTGCACTGAGTACGGTGGATAGGGGTTGGGATGCTACAACTCAAGCCTACCCATCTGCATAATCCCGCTCTTACGCGTTTTCACTCTTATCGTTCCGTTCCAGCTTCACATTTATCCCCCCAGATTTCAACCCTCCACATCTTGGACACCCCACCTTGCTTGGATAGGCTTTTACCTTTTAGTTTCAATGCACATGTGAACGCGGTGCGTCATTCCTGCCCTGTCGACAAGCCCATGTCCAACTAAGCGGTCCGTTCCAGTTCATCGGCTTCAATTTGGAGCCATCGATCAGGCTTCAGATTGACATGCCTCAATGTACGCACATTGCTACAGAGTGGTGAACAAATAGAACTTGCCCGAACATTAGATAACCCCTCGATCGATATATGCTAATTTTGGGAGACTGTTATGGGGACCCAACGTCCCTATAATTATTAAAGGCTTAAATTACGGAAGGCTGAAAACCCGATTCACTCAAGTGCACATGTACTCAGACCAGACAAAACGCACACGTTCAATCAGCCTTCCAACTCGTGTAACATTCACATTGTTTAGCCTTTGCACCCAGAAACAGTCTTGTTTCCAACCAAAAAGCATTGTTGTATCCAAGCAACATTCATTTTTCCGGACAACTCTCGCCAAACTTCCAACATTTCTGCTCAGTTTACGGACTTTGCACATTTACATAGAACCATGTTTCTTGTTTCCAGGGTTTGCTTACGCAAACCCTTCCAAGGAAAAACCCCCCTTCATCACCGTTTCGTGATATAAAAATGAGGCTGTAGAACGCTAGAATCGCCTTAGCTTTGGCCAGTAAAAGCGCCTGTGGCAAAGGCCTGTCTTGTTCTTGATTCAGTCTTGGGTTGGGAAATCGTGCGTAGAACTTTGCGTTCGGTCTAGGAACCTGTTCGACTCGCGTGAATTAATCTTTCGCGGCTAAGTTCCGAGAACCCACAGACTTCGAGATTGTCAGTTACCGTGCCGTGCGAGAAATAATTCTGAGTCTCGTTCGTTCATCCGTCTAGGAGAGTTGGTATCACATTGTTAGAACCTGACGTATTCAAGAGGCAGTATTCAACAGAGACCTGCCTGCAAGACTCGAGCTCTGTGCTCACTTTGTGATCCCCTTCAGGTGACAGCAGCAGCACTTTGTCATTGCGCCTATCCGGTGACCATGCAGCTTCGAGAACCGGCCAAGCTGGTGTAGGCATTGCCCTGAGTCCTCGGGCTGAAGCTGCTCTGCTTGATTGGCTTCCAATCAGTAGCCGGATGTGTGCGGTCCGAAGTCGCGCGGGGCTAATAGGTGTCTATTCATCATCGCTGCCTATGCACCCACAAACGCTAGCGATGATTTGGAAAAGAACGACTTCAATCGCTAATTGAACGAACTCCTTCGCGCGGACACTGCGGTACTGGCTGGGGATCTGAATACTCAAATTGGAAAATTATCCACTGATGAACTGCATCTGGGCGGCCAACATGGTGTAGGCTCCCGTAATGATGACGGTGAGCAGTTACTTCATTTGTGTGAGGATGCTCGCTTATTTCTTGCGGGCACTAATTTCCGACACAGCACCCGCCGGAGGGTGACTTGGCGCGTACCAGCCCCGAATCAGCCTTGGACGCAAATCGATCACATTGCGATAAGTTACCGATGGAGAGACTGCATCCAGAACTGTCACTCGATTTGGAGCATATGTGCGGACACCCATCATGCACTTGTATGTGCTGACATGCGGATGCGTTTTGGCGGACGCAAACGATGACGTTGTGAGCGCATTGACACCAGCCAACTGACAAGTCCAGCTGTTCTGAATGCCTATCAAACTACGCTGTCATGCGAGTTGAGTAAGTGCTCACTGGATGCAATTGAAGCTCACCGGTCCCATATTCACCAGACCTTACTAGCAGCAGGCAAAACCTCATGTGTTAAATCTAATCACCAACACTGACATTGGGTCTCTTCGCAGTCTCTAAAACTTATCGACGCTCGCCGGCATATTCCGGCTGGAAGCGAACACAATGAAACTCGCAAAGATATCCGAGCCAAACTCCGTGCTAGCCTGAAGAGAGACCGCGAATCTTGGTGGTCTCATCGTGCGTCAAAGATGGAAAAAAGCGCTGCCCATGGTAACCATAGTAAGCTTTAGCGTCTGACACATGAAACGGGCAGCAGGAGACCTGGTGTTAGTGAAACTATACGTGGTGAGAGTGGACAGCCTATCCACAACTTGTCAAAACGTTTGCAGCGTTGGGCTGAACATGTTGAAGGGCAATTCACTCGGTCGAAATTGTCAGATTTCTCGCCGGCCACTGACCGCCCTAATCCCTGGACTGTCCCTGCGTATCTACCCTCTCGCTCAGAAGTCGAAAGTAAGATCGGACTGTTGAAGTTAACTAAAGCCGCGGGACCAGATAATCTTCATCCAGCCCTCTACCAATTCGGGGGACCTGCTCTTGTGGATGATTTACACGAGTTACTAGTGAAATTGTGGGAGCAGGAAACTGTCCCAAACGCATCGAACTGCTATGTCATAATTCCAATTTTCAAGGAAAGCTCACGATCGGAATGCGGCAACCATAGAGTAATCAGTCCGATCTCCATCGCCTCCAAATTACTCGCCTCCATAATCCTTCACAAACTGACTGGCGGTCGTGAAAGCCAGATTCGTGAAGGGTAAGCAGAGTTTCGTCGAGGTCGTGGCCGCACTGACCGCATCTTCACCTTGCGTCAGTTGGTGGAGCACCGTCACATATATCGGCGGTCCACCGTTGTCGTGTTCCTCGACATCAAAGGTGCCTTCGATTCGGTTGGTCGATGTGACCTTTGGAATTGTCAACGCACGAAAGGTGTGCCCGAGAAATATGTAAATATTATCCGAGCATTATATGCGCGTAGTTCAGGAAGAGTGAGGGCTTACGGCAAGCTGTCACTGCCCATCAGTATCTCCAGCAGAGTGAGACAATAATGCCCGTTGTCACCTTTCCTCTTCAACTTCGCTATTGACGAAGTCATGGAGATTGCATTTACAGGACATGACTTGGAAGGTTTGGAGCTATTCCCAGGAGAACGACTTCTTGACATAGGGTATGCAGACGACATTGCCCTCATCTGTGACAGATCCCAGACGTGCCAGCCGCGCTGGACAGATTAGCTCTGGCTGTCAGTCGCTTCGAGCTTTGCTTTACACCATCGAAATGCAAAGAGTTCCTTCAAGATTGGCCTGGACTGCCTACGCTGACCCTTTGAGGGGATCAGCTAGAAGCCGTTCGGAAATTCAACTTCCTGGGAAGTTGTATCAGTGTCCTTGGGATAGAAGACGAGATCACGAACCGTATAGCAAAAGCTCGAAGTGCTTTTGCTAACCTTCGCCACCTATGATGGCGGCGCGACATTACTCTCGCCCTGAAGGGTAGTGTGTACAATGCAGCAGTACGTTCGACCTTACTGTACGGTTGCGAAACCTGGCCCCTAAGTTCGGCGGACATAAAGAGGCTAGTTACGTTGGTCCACCGGTGCCTTCGCAATTTAGCTTACATCTGGTGGGAACACCGACGACTTGTTTACGGCACAGGAAACGGAAATGAACCGCTCAGCACTGTTTTTTCACGCACCAGGCTCCGATGGCTCGGCCACGTGTTACGCAGACTAGCCCACCGACTCCCGCGACGTGGGTTGTTTGCGGGCGGGGTGTGAATGAAAGAAGAGGAGGGGTGGCCGGATGATGACTTGGTCTAGAGGAATGAAGGCCCTCACTTCGAAGCTGGCCTACTTTGCAGTGTCTCAGCTACCTAGTTGGGGTCTGAAATACGATGAACACGTTTGGCTGGATTTACTTGCTGATATGGTTAGGAGACGACCTCAGTGGTGTTCGTACTGTGAGTTTCTTTGTCCCACCCCATCCCACTTAGCCTTCCCCTCCAACCAGGATCTCACTATTTAGCCTTATATAATTTTTCATAGTAAATTTTTTTCTGCTTAGTAGCCGGCTGGTAGCTTACCGGAACGATGCCTATCCGTTACCGGTAGCTCAGCTGGCTTGCACTTGTTGCATTTTCTCCTTTGTTCTTTTAAGTATTGTGGCACAGTAGCTGAGGTGCTTCCCACCTCTAGCTGACGTGTACACTGATGATGATGACCCATATCTATGTGCCTATACTAGGCGCCGTCCGTCAGACTCCAGTTTGGAGAGAGCTAATCTAGTGTCAATGCCTACTTCCATAAGCAAGGAAGTTGAGTCCAAGTAATGCAGATCATGAGGCCAGCAATAATTTGGCATTTGTGAGATCTTAAGACAATGAGTGTCCCCAAGTCGAGCGTCATCAGATTGAAAGCTCAATTGCAGGCCAGCAGCAGCCCATATAGAGCATCCAATCAATCCACAATGGTATGAGGCCTGCGATGCTCGCTCAGAGAGGCATCAAGTGCGGTACACGGTAGTGTCATTTCGTGCACACTCTTCCGCCACGTAGATATAACTAAGAGAGGACTCAAAACAACATCACACGAGGTCGGTTAGTGACCGAAAGTTTTTTGATTGGTGTGTTACACTCCGTCAGGATAGGCTCAGCTTCACTGTCAGTTGATTTTGAACGCAGAGTGGTAGGCGCCGTCGATAGATAACAAGTGTGGCTGACATGATACAGAAGGACGGCGACGGCAGTTCAAGTGAAGTAATGTATGTGGGCATAACTACTACAACATTCGATCCAATAAGTAGGCCGAGCTGAACCGAAACGTCCGCACTAGCGTAGACCACGTGGCATGAAAATCTCGAAATATCTGGTTAAGCTCTGCCTACGTGAAGGAACTGGGTCGCTATCTGGCGCGAGAGTTCGCGTGCCTCTACAATTTAACGAACTACATTGGTTGGCACTTAGAAAGCACCCACAGAGTCGGTCGTGCCGGATACGTCAGTAGTTAGAAATTAGAGAAATTTGGACTTGACACCCTCCTAACGAGGTTCTGGAGAACTCTATCGGTCTCCACTCGCAAGCCTATAGACGAGAACTAGCAGGGGAAAAATTATGAGGCAAACGCGTTTGGCGTAGAACATGAGCGTCACGGGTTGTTTGAAGCCGAACAGCCCAACAACCACGAGGTGTGAACTTAAAACAACCAGTCGTAAATAGTCGTAAATGCAACAAATCCTAAGACCGAAAGACAGATGGATTGAGAGGAGTCAGTAAGACGTATCCACTGCATCCTACTGGATTCGAATGCAAGACTTTAATCATACGAGGCGAACTATATCGCGGTTAGTGATCAGTGATGGTGGTCTGCTGATGTCACTGGCACATAAAAGGAAAATCATGGGTTCGAACCCAGGAAAATTAGGTGGATGCATGTTGCTGCTGTCTCAGGAGAATGAAATGGTCGTGTAGCAATTTTCGGAATGCGTTGTAATTGAGTCTGCCGCGCCGAATGTTGGCAAAAAGAACCCCATTTCCTATTGCTCATGAACAAAATAAATTGTTCGGAATCAAGTAATACCGTGTGCAACTGCCGTGAAGTCCTATAACTGCGGTCTCAAGCTGCATCCGATCCAAACCTCGAACGCTGGGCGGGACGTACTGATGGGTAGGTTGGCAAAACTGATATTCCCAGTGTTAGGCAAATTACCTCAACTTGCATGAGAAGTGGAATATAAAGTTCAAGGTGTAACATAAACCGATGCTACTAAAAATATTGGGAGCTTAAACTCGACAACATATACTCACCGTGGGTGAGAGATGGTGGTGATTTGAAGAGTGACGATCTAGTCAATGTTTCCGACAACGCACAATAAAGGAGGAGAGGCATTCTTCTGAGAAAAGGTTGATCATCGTCCCAATCTGTTAGGCGGCCGAAACGGACGAACGCCGAAGCACGGTTTCAAGACGCGAAGCAAGCCTGCGGCAATCCACGCGAGTAACTGATGAAATTTATTTGTCGTCTACGACACGAGTTGCCGTGTGAGTGAGGCCGGGTTTTCAGGCAGCCAAATATTGGAAACCGCAAGTACGTGTAAACGTGAGCAGAGAGGTGCTAGTCAATCAGTCAATCAACGTACAGTCAATTTGGAAGGCAGAATCAAGGACTTGTGGGACCTGTAAATATTTACATTCCATGTTCTCAATACATTGCAGTCTTGTTTTCTGTTTTCTCCGGTTGGGTTGGACGGAGCACCAGACACAGAGCGGAGCCAGGGCGGCGTTACAACACGATCGTTAGAGAAGTTCAAGTATGTCGAGCGAAAAGCAACGATTCGTTAGTCTCTCTACAATTGTCTCCACGCTACCTGTATGCACGCTTCAGGAGTAACTAATTGGTCCCCAAAGTATTGGAATCTATGAAATGTAGGCTAGATTCCGTTCTTAATCAGGGTGGGTAGATTACATACTTGATCTGGGTCAATTGCCACAGTAGTGCTAGAAGGTTCAGCTAAAGTTATAGAGAGGAATTCATGCACCGAAATGCAGTGGAACCAGATAACCTGAGGCATTCTGCACAAGCGAGCTCAACAAGGGCCCGCAAAGATCTTGCTTTTCAGCAAGGTTGTTAACACCATGAAGATTACTAGAAGTCAGCGAAAATGAGCTCGGCGATCAATTTCGAGTGCATCCACAAGGACCCTCAACGGATGGGTGCAACCTGCCCATTATGAGGGAAGGAACATGCTGTTAAAAAGTACAATCTTAATAAGCAGTAGTGGCCAGCAAAGCGGGTCTCACGTTTTACAAAATAAGCCTAAAGGTTCACGGGACCTACTTAACCTTGAGTAATAGGGGGTGAGACAACGGATAAGCGGGCTTCTGTGTCAAGGAGTGACTGAGGCTGCTCCGGCCAGTATGATCACTTTATGAGAACATGACACAGTGAAGCAAGCAAATAACGCCAAACCAGCATCAGAGCCTAAAACACCATGAAGGTTAAATCATAGTCGCATGATAAGATGGAAGAGGTAGAAGTGGTCTTGTTGATTCACCGCTGACAGCAACGAGAGAACGAAAGTGTGAAAGTTGAGCAGTGCACGGAAAACCAACCGATAAAACCACGTTGCTCGACGGACTTCAGTGACCGGCTCGTCCCAATAGACTGAGTGACGCTCACGCAGGCCCAAGTTGACATCATAACGTCCCCCTTCCACGGGGAGCAGACAGGCGGTGAAAGACTCCGATCTGGAAGGAACCAACAAATTAGCGTCGTGCGCCATGCTTTCTAAACGAGAAGAATCATGGCGAGAAAAAGGCCACCAGATTTTTGATCCATTCAAATTGGTTGCATAAAACCACACTCCGCTGATCGGTTCGTAGGAAGCTAAAACCCGGAATAAGTGGTACAGTAAAAAAGCAAAGGTGAGTCGCTCATCGGATATCAGATACAAGACCAGTAGTGACTGAAACGGAAAAAAGGTGAAACATAAATAGCCGCCGTCGCCGTTTTCACTGAAACATCATCTATACGCAATCTGCTGTGGACACATCCGTGGTGAAGGAACATTTTGACTTATTTTGCTAAACTGTTTCCAAGGTCACTAATTTGACTTACTCCGTTGGATACTGCGCTGAAACTGAAACGTGTCGCTTTCGGTTGCAAGCTCACGGGAAAACTGAAAAAAACTACTTAATAAAAATCTATCCTGTCAAGCGGATACAAATCCCAATGATCCCAGCAATGCGACGTTGTTGCTCGGAGATGCGGAACTGTCCGAGTGACATCAGTGCACTCTTTTTCCTTTTTATTCTCTATTTGTAAAAGTTTGCATTATTGACGGTGACATTTTAGTCCATGTGCAGTTAGTAGCGGAAAACACTGAAAAGACACCCGTCTGGGCAGTTAAAAACATGAATCATTCCATGTTTTTGAAGCGACGAGCTATTATTCTAACTGGAGAGGACTAAAACGGAAGGTGGAACCGAATTCCTACACACCACCCGCACACAGACACAAAGATTCGTTTGCACACAAACAACCGAAAAGAAGAGCATAACAGGTACACTTACTGCTCGATAACGATTGAGTCACTGGAGTCGGTAGTGGATCTGACGTCGCTGGAGTGACTGGAGATGACGCCTCCGAACCCAGAGATCCAGAACCGAGCGGTTCGTTGGAGACTGGCCAACTGGTCTGCATTGGTATTTGAGAAATTCCAGGAGTTGCCTCGTGGGCGGAATAACGCGCAGCTGTGACTGTGCCCGGGGGAAGTACGTAACGGGGACGGGTGTTGCAACGAGAACTCGGTTCAGAAGATGAAACCACCTAGGAATAGCGTAAAAAGAACCAAGTAAAAACTTCGTCAAAATCTGTACAGTAAGATTTATAAACATAAACAGAGCATACTAAAGAGCCTGTGGTACCATGCTATAAACGCACGGCAACGACAGGTGAGAAATGCGGAACTTCACGTCACATCATGGTGGAATCATAGTCCAGAAAAGGAGGTTACCCGAGTACATTTGTCGGATCTTGGAGTATCCACCGCGTGTATTGGGTTGCGATACGCAATCTCAACTGTAGCCACGGTTAATTTTGAAGTCAGCCTGCACCCGGTTACGCTCCTCAATGGCAGGCAGTACGACATTGATACGGACACTGAAGTGGCATAGACATACTGGCCAAATCACACAGATGATGAGTGACAGCCATACAGTATACGGTTTTGAGTGGAATTAACAAAACAACAATGTGCGGACTGTTTTGAAGTGTTCACATGCGTTTATCGTCTCTCGGACCCCAACTCGGCAGTCAATAGACATCAACGGACGCCAAATTGGAAGTGAAGAACTTCATTCCCCATGACCAAGTCCCGACCTGGCTTTCCTTTCTCTCCCACCCGGAGCCCGGTCACCCGAACAACGCACGTTGTGGCATGCGCAACACATGGCCCAGCCACCGGAGCCAGGTGCGTGATATAACGATGTTGATCAGTTTGCCCGCTCCTCCCGAAGCCGAAAACAAGATGCAGAATACGCTCATTGCTCATCTGTCGTTTCCACCAGATGAGACAAAACTCAAACGCACCGGTGGTAGGATGCAGTTAGCCCCTTCAAGTCTGTTGATTTAAGAGGCACACAGAGAACAGAAGTCGCTCAACTAAGAACAACTCCCCTTGTTCAGTGAGCGCGGTTTCCATGATTTCGTCGATGGCATCTTTGTATCACACCGATCCAAATAGTGAAGGGCAGCGACGGGATGCTATAAGTCCTCACTCTGCCAGAAATACGCGCGTAGAGTGATCTTAGTAATTACCTATTTCTCGGACACAAGTGTTCTAAGTAAAGTTTCAAAGAACATATTGACCCACCGAGTTGAAAGCAGCTTTGATGTCGAGGAATACGACTACGGTGGGTCACCAATATAAGTGGCGGTGCTCCAACAACTGACGTAAACCCATGAGTTCGTCAATGCAGCCTATATTTCGATGGAACCCGTCATACGCTTTCCGAATCTGCCTTTCACGAGCCCCAGTCAATATGTGAAGAAAGACAGGCAAGCAAGTTGCCTGCTACATCCTGAATCTGAGCCCCCATGCAAACTAGGTACACAAAAGAGCAGTTCCAGTCAGTTCGGACAACTATTCGTTCACAAATTTTCACCAACAAATCCTGTAAATCATCCACAAGAGTGAGATCAACGAATACGAAAATAAATGGACCAAGTCCACTTGGTGGTGATAATAGTTAAGGTACGGCCTCCGCGCGAAAGGATGGCCAAGGGAGCAGAATCACTAACGGCCGACAAGGAAGCTTATAACTCTGCCCGATTACATGGCTTTTCAGTGTTCGGCCCAACGCTTCAGGCGGTTTGACAAGTTGTGGATACGTCATCTATCGTCCCAAATAGCTTCGCTAACATCAGGTCCCTGCCGCCTGTTTTCTGTCGTCATTCATAATTATACGCGTCAGCTAGAGGTGGGAAACACCTCAGCTACTGTGTCGCAATACGTAAAGGAAAATAAATACAACAGTTTCACGCCAACTGAGCTACCAGCAACGGATAGGCAACGTTCCGGTAAGCTACCAGCCGGCTACTAGGCAAAAAGAAAAATTATGTTTTACGCCATGAAATGAGATCGTAGATGGAGGGGGAGGCTAAAAAGGATGCGAAGGGACAAAAAACTCAGAGCCAGAAAGCCACTGAGGTCGGCTCCTTGCCATGTCAGCAAGTGTATCCAGCCAAACGTGTTCATCGTCTTTTGGACCCCAACCAGGGAGCCGTGACGCTACAACCAAGGCCAGCTCCGAAGTGAGCACCTTCATTCGTCTGGACCAAGTCATCGCTTGGCCACCCGTCCACTTCTTCCATCCACATCCCCGGTGAGCAAACAACGCCCGTCGTGGAAGTCGGTGGGCTGGCATGCGCAACACGTGGCCCAACCATCGAAGCGTGGTGCGTGAAATGACGGTGCTGAGCGGTTCGTTTCCTTTTCCTGCGCCGTAAACAAGGCGTCGAACACGCTCGTTACTCACGCGGTGTTCCACCAAATGTGAGCCAAACTGCGAAGGCACCAGTGGTCGAACGTAACCAATCTCTTTATGCAGACTGGTCTAAGGGGCCAGGTTTCGCAACTGTACAGTAAGGTGGAGCGTACCGCTGCATTGTACACTCTACACTTGAGGGCGAGAGTAATGTCGCACCGCCGCCATAGGTGGCGAAGGTTAGTAAAAGAACTTCGAGCTTTTGCCATACGGTTTGTGATCTCGTCTTCTATCCTAATGGCGCTGATACAACTTCCCAGGAAGTTGAATTTCCGAACGACTTCTAGCTGATCCCCTTCAAGGGTTAGCGCAGGAGGTGATCCCTGCCAATCTTGGAGGAACGCTTTGCATTTCGATGGTGTAAAGCAAAGCTCGAAGCGACTGACAGCCAGAGCTAATCTGTCCAGCGCGGTTGGCACGTCTGGGAGCTGTCACAGATGAGGGCAATGTCGTCTGCATACCCTATGTCAAGAAGTCGTTCTCCTGGGAGTAGCTCCAAACCTTCCAAGTCATGTCCTGTAAATGCAATCTCCATGACTTCGTCAATAGCGAAGTTGAAGAGGAAAGGTGACAACGAGCATCCTTGTCTCACACCACTGGAGATATTGAAGGGTGGCGACAGCTTGCCGTAACCCCTCACTCTGCCCGTGCTATGCGCGTATGATGCTCGGATAATATTTACATATTTCTCGGGCACACCTTTCGTGCGTAGACAATTCCAAAGGTCACATCGATCAACCGAATCGAAGGCACCTTTGATGTCGAGGAACACGACAACGGTTGGCCGCCAATATATGTGACGGTGCTCCAACAACTGGCGAAAAGTGAAGATGTGGTCAATGCAGCTACGACCTCGACGAAACTCGGCTTACCCTTCACGAATCTGGCTTTCGCGAGCGCCAGTCAGTCTGTGAAGGATTATAGAGGCGAGTAATTTGGAGGCGATGGAGATCAGACTGATTACTCTATGGTTGCCGCATTCCGAACGCGAGCCTCCTATGAAGATACGAATAATAACGGAGCGGCTCCAGTCGGTTGGAACAGACTCCTGCTCCCACAGTTTCACTAGTAATACATGTAAAGCATCAACAAGAACAGAGTCTCCGAATTTGAAGAGGGCTGGAGGAAGATCATCTGGTCCCGCGGCTTTGTTCAACCTCAGCAGTCTGATCTCACGTTCGACTTCTGAGCGAAAGGGTGGACCGAAAGGGACAGCCCACGGAGCAGGACGATCCCTGGCCGGCGAAGAATCGAACAATTCTAGCCGATTAAATTGCTTTTCAAAATGCTCAGCCCAACGCTCCAAACGTTTTGAAAAATTGTGGATAGGCTGTCCACTCTCACCACGTATAGTTTCATTAACACCAGGTCTCCTGCTGCCCGTTTCCCGTAACAGACGGAATAACTTACGACGTTTGTCAAGGGCAGCGGCCACTCCCATCTCTGACGCACCATGAGACCACCAAGATTCGCGGTCTCTCTTCAGGCCAGCACGGAGTCTTGCCCGGAGATCTTTGCGAATTTCATTGTGTTCGCTTCCAGCCGGAATTTGCCAGCGAGCGTCGATAAGTTCCAGAGACCGCGAAGGGACCCAATATCCATGTTGGCTATTAGACATACCACATGAGCATTTGCCTGCCGCTAGTAAGGTCTGGTGAACATGTGACCAGTGATCATCAATAGCCTCCAGTGAGTGTTTACTCAACTCGCATGTCAGCGTACTTCGATACGCATTCAGAACAGCTGGACTCGTCAGTTGGCTGGTGTCAATGCGTTCACAGCGTCATCGTGGGCGTCCACCAAAACGCATCCGCATGTCAGCACATACAAGTGCATGATCGGTGTCCACACATATGCTCCAAATCGAGTGACAGTTCTGGATGCAGCCTCTCCAGCGGTAACTTATCGCAATGTGATCGATTTGCGTCCAAGGCTGATTCGGGGCTGGTACGCGCCAAGTCACCCTCCGGCGGGTGTTGTGTCGGAAATTAGTGCTCGCAAGAAATAAGCGGGCATCTTCACACAGATGAAGTAACCGCTCACCGTTATCATTACGGGAGCCTACACCGTGCTGACAGCCCAGATGCATTTCAACAGTGGACAACTTTCCAACTTGTGCGTTCAGATCCCCAGCCAGCACTACAGTGTCCGAGCTTCTTCTGTGGTGAAGGAGTTCGTTCAGTTGGCGATAGAAGTCGTCCTTTACCGAGTCGTCGCTACAGTTTGTCGGTGCATAGGCAGCGATAACGAATAGACACCTGTTAGTCCCACGCGACTTCGAATTTTTGAACGAGCCAGCCAATCGGACCGCACACATCCGGCTACTGATTGGAATCCAATCAACCAGAGCAGCTTCAGCCCGGGGACTCAGGGCAATACCAACACCGGCTTGGCCGGTGCTCGAAGCTGCATCGTCACCGGATAGGCGCAATGAGAAAGTACTGCTGCTGTCACCTGAAGGGGATCGCAGAGTGAGCACAGAGCTCGAGTCATGCAGGTGGGTCTCCGATAAGCAGCAGAAATCCATGGTGGAGGTCTCTAATGTTTGGGCAAGTGCTGCCTGTTGACCGATCTGTAGCAATGTGCGTACATTGAGGCATGCCAATCTGAAGGAGAATCGAGGGCTCCAAATGGAAGCCGATGAACTGGAACGGACCGCTTGGTTGGACATGGGCTTGTCGACAGGAGAGGAGGGACGCTGCGCGTTAGCATGTGACTTGAAATTAGAAGATAAACAACTAGTAAAGCATGTTGTGGGGTTGAAAACTGGGGGGGGGGGTA